GAGGAGGCTGGATGGCAGCGGGTGTCCCCAGCGGCCGCCGGCCTGCAGGGAGCCACGCACACGCAGCCTTTGCCGAGCCGCTGCTTGGACGTGGACAGCGCGGGCCGGGAAGGCGGCCAGGGCCGGTGTCCGTGTACCCCGGGCACCCTCCGTGCTCGGGGAACGTGGCGGTGGCGGACCGCGACGCCCGTGTGGCAAGAAGGAGGGAGCTGTGCTAGCCAGCGTCCGAGGGCCCGCAGGCTGCGGCCCGGGCGCTCTCGGCGGCTTCTCGGGTGCCTCTCTTGGTTTGTCGCCTCTTGCCGGACAGGGTCGATGGACGTAGGGGTGCTGAGTGATGCCTGGCACGTTCTTGTGAGTCCAAATAACGGGTGTTTACTTGGAGAGGCGAGTTGCGGGAATCTGCAGCAAAGGATATATTGAAGAAGGCGAGAGTGATCGTGAGTCCCTGAAGGGATTTTACCGAGTGACTCGGAGAGCGCTGCACCGTGAACGTCATCGTCACAGCTGAGGCAGCAGGACCTTGGCAGCACAGATTTCAGAAGCTGGTGATAAACCCAAAAGTTTTGGTTTAGATATATGATTTGTGACCCATACTTGCAGGGAAGGACCAACTGGTAGACCCAGAGCAGTTACCTCCAAATTGAAGTCAGTAGCTTGACCGAAGAAGCTGGTCACTGTGACCTATGACTGTTGCACTTCAATTTTTTCAGTTGTCTTTCCCAAGAAACGAAGACAGAGATTGCATGGAAGTCAGTTGGCAGGTTTCTGACAGGAAAAGATGATTCAAGTTCCTGTAGCTGGAAGAGAAGCTGTGTTTGAGTTTTATTTGTTACAAAAGCGTACACCCCAGCCAGTGGTTACCACCCACTGCCCCCCTGTTTGGTTTTCCTTGTGCTCGTGCAGCTTGTACGCCAGTGACTGCAAGCCTTCCTTTCTGCCAGGAAACCAGATCTGAAAGTCCCTCTCCGTGTGGATTTCGGTGTCTGTAATTCATGACTGGTTTTTTTTCCATGATGATAAACTTTGAGAGAAGTCCTGCGTCCTTTCTGTTTGAATGTGGCCACGGCTTCTTTACCTCACATGGTGGTACAGGCCCAGCTTGAGCGGTAGGGCCATGCAGTTCTGGTCCTTTAGGAAGTGTCAGTTATACTTTGATTCATCGGTATGCGGCCAGGAGCTCTCTAAAACATGTCCCAGAAATAGGTTGTAGGTTGTGGACCTTCAGGATTTATTACCTTAACAAGTCTTCAGATGACTTACTGTTGACTATAGTTTCATCAGTTATGTATTATTTTATGTAACCCCAATCCCAAGATTGCAGCGTGCAAAAGACATTCGTCCTCAGACAAAACACAGGAGAAAGCAAATGTTCTTTAGATTGGTATTTAAGGCAGGAAGAGAGATGAGGTTGAACAAGTTTAGACTTGTAGTTTCTAAGAAGAAAGCCGCTAGGCCAATGCTTTTTCCTAAAAGATTTTTCTTCCCCTCTGAGACTCAACCCTCAGTTCTAGTAAACACTTCACAACACTTCTCGGTCAGTGACATCACCTCTATAGACATTTCTATAATATGCTGTCATTGATGTAACTAGCCGGTTTTGGTTGAGATTTCTGCACTAAGTTTACAAGGGAATAGAGTTTTCTTGGAGTTTTCAGTTTCAGCTCCCAGTTCTTTCAGACCATACTATGAAGGCTTGATTTAAAACTCATTACACATATATCAGCCAGCTGGGTGAATAAAAGGACTCCACCTAGGTAAAATTGCCTTGTAACTGTAGCTTTAATGCTATAATTTACTGTGCAGTATTACTTTCTCTAAAGCCGTGTTCAATTAATTGTAAGACCAGAGCTCTGTCTTTGCTTGGCTTGTGTTACAGAATAGTATGGTGCTTTCTGCTGCTATCTTCATCACACTGTTTGGCCTGATCATATACCTGCACTTCGTGAAAGTTGACCAGGAATCCCTGTTGGTCATCGGCTCACTCGGCATTCAGGTGACCTCATCCTATGCTTCAGGGAGAGAGAGCACAACCTTCATTGAGATGGGTCAAGTGAAGGATGTGGTTATCAATGAAGCCATCCATATGGTAATCATACAGACTCTTTCTTCTTGTGCATCTGTGGGCACACTCACATCCACTGTATTTTTATGGGCGTGATTTACCAGAGCAATTAAACACAGCACCATCCATAGCTCTACTGACATTAGGAGCTTTGTTTCAGATTTCTCTCTTTAATCTGTTCTCTTTAAAGGAGAACTCAAGCCAAACAAATAACCTCAAAAAGCCAGATCCATCCCTTGGATAATGCCTCTGAGACTGAGCTAGTGGTTTTAGTTCTTTGTGTTGTACTGTTGATGCCAAACTCCATAAGTAGTCAAGACTTTGGAGATAGGAAGATAGACAACACAAGAGAGGATTTTTCCTGTTGCTGGGGTTTTCTGCAAAGCTCCTGTAGAAAAGCAGACCTTACCCTTCCAGCACGTGTGTGTTCATTTCAGGTTAAAAATCTGATAGAAAAAAACACAGGTAGAATTATTTTTTTATTGTGTGAAGGGAGGAAAACTATAGATATAAATTTGCAGACTTGACTGTGGCCTGGGGTAATTGGCCTTCAGCCCAATGAGTTGAAACAGATCCTCTTTCCGTGATAACTCCAGGCACTTTGGTAGCATTTTCCAACTCCGATGATTTTGTCTGTTTGTGTTGTAGCAAAAAGTTATCTACTACCTGTGCATCCTCCTCCAGGACCCTGGAGATCCTCAGGGAGTATCTGAGGTTGTGCCACTCTTTCAGGTGAGTTTGACTGAATGGTGGAGAAATCCTGATCTGTGGTCTGTGTGTGCATGCCAGTTGTCTAAGCGTATATTTATTCCACTACAGGTAGCTGATTACAGTTGCCTTTCCCTGAGTGGGCCTTCAGGATGGGTCTTACAGCATTGTGGAATGGGTGGCATTCGAAGTCTCATAGAACTATGTACCGGGGATGGTTTTTTCATTTGCCCTCCATTCAAAGAACAGGGAGCTGTGTCAGTCTGAACCCAACCAGGAGTTTGGGCGAACTAGAAGTCTTCAGCTCATGTAGGGTACTGAGGACTCGTACAGCTTTCTGTGTAGTCTTATGCTCAGTGTTACCACCATAACTATGGCGCTGCGCTACAGTTATTTTTCTCTCGGCTCTGTGTGCCAAAAGTGCTCATAAAAACCTCCTTGGGATTAGAATGACTTTCCCTGTCTCACCCGTTGACAAAGATCACAGTACAAGCTGTGAGCAATTTGCTTAATATATAATAACTTGTTTGCTTTACCGTTACCCTGTCTCCACTTTCTCTTCTCTTGCTAACTTGTTCTGACTGTTCATAATACCATTTGTGGGATGGATTTTCTTTCTGCATGTACGTGCCTAACACAACAATGCCCTGATCCTTGAGCAGTAGAGGTACCTCACACCTTAGACTGCTGAGGTTTATAGCCCTCTCTGTCCTCCTTAATTCACCTGCTGCTGGTGACTATCATTTTGTAGTCCACATGCAGTTTATGACTGGATACAGTTAGTCTTCAGCTAAATACTTATGGGTATAAATAGACTATTCCATTGATACTTGATGCTAACTCAGTCCCACAATTATAAAGACTAACAATAATATAAGTTAAGTATTTCACACATAGTCAAGGTAAAAAGATGGATTTGCTGGAAATCAATGACTAATAAATTCCAGAGAGCTGCAATCAGGAACCTGGTTTTCATTATGCATGCTCCTTTCCAGCTTCAAAGAGACTGCCTGGCAATTGTGTAGTTTCTCTTTTTTTCTAGCTCAAGTCTGAACGGTTTTATTTTCATGGAAATACCTTGGTATTGGCAGCGTTGACTCCACCAGCAAAGGAGGTACAGAAAGAGCTGTGTCAGTTTGCAATTCATTACCTGTCAGTAGTTATCACTTTAACGTGCAAGTTAGTATGTTACTTAGTTTTGAAGGAGAAGTAATTAGTAACTTTATTGCATCTCCTTCATTGGGTTCCTCTAAGTTATGTCAGCCTTCAAAAATACAATTTACCGTGTCACTGAGCCCAGGAGCACTTCTGCGCTGAATTGACCTATTGTTCTCTTAAGCAACACTTGCAAGGAGAGGCGTTTGATGGACTTTACACGGTAATGCTGTTTTGGGAGCTCAAAAGTCATGGGACCATAGGGACTGTAGGACTGGGAAACTTTCACCTCCTTGCTGGTTTTAATTTGGTCCAGGTTAGAAGTGATGGAAAATCATTATACTTTGACCACCATTCGCTGTTCGTGTGAAGTGAATTGATGTTTTCAGTTAACCTTCCGTTGTCCTTTTGTTGACAGTACTAGCAGAGGCCAAGGACCAGGTGTCTAAATTCTCTGTCCTAAGGTAGATTTTTTTCAGGGTGGAGGTCTTCTAGGATGGTGGATTAGTGTATGGAAATCTGCTGTTTGGTAGGTCTCTAGAGGGATTATGGCCTAATACATAGGTTAATGGGTTGGGAGGTGTGGATGTTCTTTCATGCTGTCGCTGTGAACTGAGAAAGGGGAGGCTTTCTGATTTGGTGAGAGATTCAGGCTAACTGCAGAATGGTGCTGTGTGTTTTGACCTGACAGCTTTAGGGACTGGCGTTTTTCATCACAGAGCAGGTATGGCTTATGGAATGGCTTTGCATTCCTTTATCACCAGCTTACATCAAACACTTTCTGGAGTTTGGTGGATTATTTCTCAGTGAACATGTAAAAGGGAAATCTATTCTCCATTGACTTAATGTAAGAAAGCTAATCAGCTACAGAACCTTGCTGTTGCATCCCTTATATATGTATGCTTCTGATAGTCAGCTTTGTGTCAGCTATCTCCACATTCCTTTCTCTGCCTGATAATTTCATGAGTAGGAAGTTAAAGCTTTCCAGCTCTTTTACAGCCAGTTCAGAGCCTGATTGTCTGTTGTTTGACTTCAATTCTAGAGCTCCAAGCCACGCCTGGACTGCTTAATAGAAGTGTACAAAAGTTGTCAAGAAATCCTGGAGCAGAGGAAGACAGCTCCACAATCAAGTGGAATAAAATAGTAAAAAAAAGAAAAAAAAAGAAAAAATCAAGGTAGCAAACTTGCAGCAGGACTCAGACACATGGAAAAGCAAGCAAAACTACCCCATGTTTTTTTTTTTTAATTAGATGAGTAGAAAGTGGTGCAGCAGTACAGTGATGTTAGGTCTAAAGGCCTGCACAGACTCAGAGAGTTGTTACAGAAAATGTCAGCTCAAGCACAGGAGTGAAACTTGAAATCCTCTGCTATGAAGACAGGTGAGCAGAACTTTTTAGACTCGGACAGAAAAGGCTTTTCCTTGCCTCTCCAGAAAAGAATTATGGGGAAATAGGGCAAAGGGAGGCAAGAACATGCATCAAACGTTTACTCTTTTGTGGATCAGAAAATTATGATAAACTTCTAATGTAACCTTGGCTGGACTGCCAGAAATATGCATTTTTTTGTTTCTATTTAACCCTTTGTTTGAAAAAAGCATATACCACTCTAAATACCAAAGCTGATGTGTGGGCTGGGATGGTAACTTCCTGATCCACAGGAGAATTTCAGAAAGAAAATAACAGAAAATTAGAAGATACTGCTGCATTCAATTATGTTTAGTGAAATAAACATAGGAGAGCAGACTTTGACCTCTTCAGGGATCTGCTTGAAAGAGTCCCATGCAATGGGGCCCTAGAGGGAACAGGGGTCCAAGAAAGCTGATTGATAGTCAAGGATCACCTCCTTTAAGCTCAAGAACAGTCCATCCTAGTGAGCAGGAAGTCAAGCAAAAATGCCAGGAAGCCTGCATGGATGGAGAAGTTGCTCCTGGCAAAATTCAAACACAAAAAAGGAAGTATACAGAAGGTGGAAGCAGGGACAGGTAACCTGGGAGGAATGCAGCAACACTGTCTGAGATGCGGTTAGGAAAGCCAAAGCCCACTTGGAGTTGAATCTGTTGAGGGATGTCAAAGGCAACAAGAAGGGCTTCTGTAAATACACAAGTAGCAGAAGGAAGACGGGGAAAATGTGGACCCATTGCTGAATGGGGCAGGGGGCATGGTGACACAGGATATGGAAAAGATGTGGCATTAAACAGGCCACATCAATTGCTCTGAGAATATGAGGAAAATGTGTTGTTGAAAATGATTGTAATGACTATGTGAATAAAGTGTTATTGATCTGTACTCTCAGAAGTAACTTAAGGTTGGGAAATTCTTCTTTGCTGATGAGCTAAAAGTTACTGTAACCTTTAACTGGTATTTTTCTCTCTTTTTTTTTTTTTTTCCTGTGACTCCTTAGTAATGTAACTGAGACAATTTAAATGTCAAAACAAGAGCTAAACCAGCAAGTTGGCAGGAGCCTAGGAGTCATGCTTAATTTGCATACAATGCTGTACTGTGCTTGTCTACATAATCTGTAATTAAAACATGTGGCAACATACCATCATGCAATATGGTAGAGATAAGGCGATCTTTTTTTTTTTTGTTTTTTTCCACGGTGCCATGAAGTTTGAAAGACACAGGTTAGCACATGTCACAGGAAGTATTCTCCTTGTCCAAGTGAAAGGCAGCAGCTTGGGGATGTGCCAATGGCTTTTGGGTAATGTTATCTAGGTTACTTTATTTTTTATGGTTTTATTTCTCATAAATACTTTAAATATTGGGGTTGGCCAGATTTTTAATTCCAGTGCTGCCCTAATATAAGTTGGTAGGTCTCTCTAAAGTTGGTGAACCTGCACCCTGATGCAAACTGTGTTTGGTTGAAAGTCAAGCCAGAACTGGGAAGGGCAGGTGTTGCAGCAGGGGCAGAAATTGGCCATTAACAAAGGCAGCAAGCCCTGGGAGTGACTGTGTAAACGACTATAGCAGTCCTTTGACTAAAAACCACGTGGTATACTTGAGTTATTTGAGTCTCATATGGCTTGAGGTGTGGTTTGGCCAGGCTGTGTTTCTTCATGTGGAGGAGAAGTGGTCAAGGCCCTTGAGGAGCACTATAGCAGCAGGAAGATTCACTGAGCCATGGGGAGAACGTGTCAAATTATGTCTCAGCAGACTGGACAGAGTCTTGGGCTTAAGAGTGTGCTGGGAACATTGACTATGCTGTAAAAATCCCATGAAGTCCTGAGAATGTGCACTGAAGAAATGACCAAGTAGCTGTGTCAGAGGAGGAAGTCTGGAAGATTGTTTTAGCCATCTTTTGAAGGAGTGAACATCCTGTGCCCATGAGAGTGCACTTTAGTCATCCACTAAAGCTGAGAGAAGATCAGCAGAGAGAAACAAGGAATCAGACTAGGGCAGGTCTGCACCAGCTATGTGCCTGGATACCAAACAATCTTTGTCCATTTTTGTTTACATTGAGACTATTTTGACTTTTACAATAGTTTCTTTCACTCTGAGAATAATACAGTTTAATTCATACTAACGGCATTTTATTAAGAACAAACAGAAATCTCACAGTATCTCCCAGACAGCCTTTTACATACACACAGCAGTTAGGAAAACAAAGGCTTTTGTCATCTCATTCTATTCTGCAGCAATAGTCATTGCCAAAAGCATTGATTAAAATAAAAATTGTTTTCTCTACCAAAGAATCATACAAAATAGATTAACTACACAGGGTTGGTTGGTTGTTTGAAGTCAGGTAAGCTATAAATAGGAGGTATATGTATATCCATCAGAGTGGGGTGGTCCCTGAAATAACTCAAGTATTGGTGAATATTTTTAAGAAATAAGGAAGAAAAAAAAGTTCTATATGCCATGCTTCTCAATTTAAAGTGCAGTTATGGGAGAAAATAATGAGCTTCAGGACAGCTTTTGCTTATTGAACATCTCTGCTTCCTGTGTGCCCTGGTACAAGTGCCTAAGGACATGAGTGTTAGCACTGTAAGGTAAGTACAGCCTCTGAACTGTCAGCTGGAGACTTTTATGCCTTGAGCATCCCCAGCACAGATGACAGCTCAGCATATTCTGAAGCAGCTTTGTTACTGGTGGGATACAAGAAGCAGGCTGCTAAACAGACCTTCAGATACAGGAGGAAGTGTTAGGCACAGGTGACTGAGGAGGAATAACACTCTCTGTATTCAAACTGATGTAGCTATACTGAGATCACTCTGTGTGTGTGTGTGTGTGAGAGAGAGAGAGGAAATACATGCTACTGGCCACTCTTATCAGGATATGTAGTCGCTTAAAAGTAAGAAAAAAAAAAAAAGACTAAATACCTTCTTCAAAGTTGTTGTTGGCTCAGAAAGCTTCTACCCTTTTCCATAACTTCAAGGGATGGTCCTTAAATTCATAACAAGGGGGTAGATTACAGTATGTGCAAATCAGGTCTCTGTTCATACAATCTTTTCCTGTCTTATGTCTGCCATATTATTTCCACAACCCACCATAGGGTGGTTTAGGTTTGGGGGTTTGTGTGTTTCAAAGATGCTGATACGCAATTGCTTAGAACATTTTTCTTCTAATTTGTGGCTTTGCACCCACCAAAAGTGTGAAACAAGAACTTCCTGAAGTATCAGCTCCACTGCATGCGTTAGTTGGGTGTTTCAAGGTTGGTGGCAGGTACTAGGGAGTAAAAACACTGGTATGGTTGGTTTGTTCATTTGCTAATAGCTTTGGTTTGCTATTGCTGAATCCTTTCTAATGGTTGGATTCACACTGTTTTAATTTGGGAAAGTTGCCTATGAATGCATAATTATTACAAAGTTGCACATGGTACTTTTGAAAGTGCAGTTATTCTTCCTTAGCTTTTTTGGAATGCTTATCAAAATAGCTGAACTCAATCCAGGTAGATTTAGATTTTTCAAGAAGAATTGCTATTTTTCTTTTATTTGTTTAAAATCCATTAACTTTCTCAATCATAGCAAAGTCCCTTTGAAAGAGATCAAAAAAAAAAACCCCTGTTCTTTAGGAAAGTCAGAAGAATGATATTTGAGTACATAGTTGCTGACTACCTCCTCCTTGCTGTGGTAGCATGAAGGAAGCAGGAGTTTGAAAGGAACAGCTTCTGTCAAGTCAGAATGGCAGAGCTGGTTTGGGAAGATCCATTCCAGCTGCTGAAAGACAGAAATAGTACAAAATTTGCTTGCCTTGTCTTCCTTTGTCTGAGATTATCTGAAGTTTCAAACACATCCTGAAACATCTACAACAGTGATTAACAGAAAGTCTTTGAAAGTGCTTGTCTGACAGTGGAGCACGTGACACGTTCAGCCTTGTGGTAGAGTTCATCTATTGCATAGAACAGCCTTGACTCCCAAAATGCATCAGTCCTGTAGGAGCTAGAGCATCATCTGACACTCTTCCAGTCCCAGTCATTCTGAGTCCTCAACATGCCAAGACAGTATGTTTCCATCTGTATATTGAAAATACTCTTGAGTACCACTGAACTCTGATTCTATACTCCCCACTTCAGGTGTGAAATTATTCTTGACTTGCATCAGAATTATTCTTGTCAGTTTAGTTCCTTTTCCTTCTCAACAGTGTCTTCTTTCTTTTCACATCTGGAGCAAGGACTTGGAAAGTTTCTGTCTTTCAATTTTAGCATCCATTTCAGGGAGGAGTCATTATAGCTCTAGGGAAAATTAAATTGTCCTCTTGGTTATGTTAAGCAGCTGCATAAAAACTATTCTAGTCTCTGCAAAAAGACTATCTTAATAGTTGTTCTGGGCGTGGCAGCATTGAATTTAAACACTGCTAAAAACTTTAATATGATGGCTATTCACAACCAGAGCATAGAGCTGAAGTTATGTCTAAACTACCTGATCAGACTACGTCATGTTAATCTTTACACTCTGGTAATAGCCTTTTCAGTGTATATCTAGTTTATGACACAGTGATATGCAGCTCCTAATACAGGCAGTATTCAACAGTATGCATCCTTCCACAGGGTTCATGCCACATGCCACAGTATCCATTACCACCTGTTTTTACTTTTAATAGGACTGTGCGTTCAGCCCACTGCAGTCAGATTCAAGCCTATATACCACTCAAATCTGCCTTGCAGAGGTTGCAGTCTAATTAAGGTAAAAAGTGAGCAAGTTAGGGA